ATTATTAATTTTATGTAACATTAATTTATTATTTAAAGATGCTGTTTCTGTTCTGTAATTTTAAGTACCAATATATCAAAATAAAGAATAAGTTTTAAACATAATCCCTTGTCTGCTTTTGATATAGTTTTCTGTGTGAATTCTATTTCAAATAATATCGCTTATATCTTGAATCTTCTGTGTGAACTTTCTTGATATAATACTATATCCGATTCTTCTTTGTGAATTATTTGGATATATTATACCATGTAACAAAAAGATTATAATAACTATTTCACCAAAATTAAAAATGATCTTTCACTATACTACTCTACTATATTATATTACAAGTAATTAAAAAGAATATAAATCTTGAATATAAATAAAAATAAATAAAATATAATATTTAAAAATAGAAATATAATAATAAATAGTAATAAAAATAAATATATGATATAAAAATAGAAATATTTATAAAATAAAGAAAAATTATAGAAAAATGTGATTTTGTATAATCAGAAAAAGATTAGAGAATTAAAAAATTTTATGTCACTATAGTAATAATATTAAATAATATTTATCTAATATTAAATTATTTATTTATTAAAAAATATGTTGAAGTTTAAATATAATTTATATAATTTTCTGATCTAAAAGTTCTATTAACAATTTTTTTGTGATAATAATTGATATTTAATATATAAAACTTTTAATAATTTAATAAAAAAGAGATATTTAATAGTAAAAAAAGTAAAATTATATATAATAAATATTTTAATTAAGATATTATTAATAATTTTTTGTCATAAAATTGAAATAAATAAATTTTCAAAGTGTTATTCTAATAATATTTACTTTTTAAATTCAAAAGATGAAGATTGAATAGATATAAAATTTATTTTTTAATATTTAATATTTTTTTTATATTAATTTTCTATAACAAATTAATAAAATTATAAAATAATTAAAGTTGAATATTTTAAATAATATGATATTAAATATATTTGAAAAATAAAAGATCTAGTAATTTTTTAATATTATAAATAATATTTACAAGTATCTTCATAAATATCACATAATATTTTTTTATTATATATAATATGTTCTTATATTAATGAAAATCTTCTTTTATTATATTTTTTAGTATTTTGTGATTTAATATTAATAATTAATAATTCAGTTTTATTATTATTACTAGAAAAAATAATAATAGATAAAGTACATATAGATATAATAATAAAATTAAAAAATTATATTAAAATTAGATATAATAAATAATTAATATAACAGATTTAGCTTAGTATAATTTTTTAAGAGAATTTAAAATTTTTAATAATTATTATAGTAAATTTTATTAATAAATATTTTATAGCAAATCCAGATTAATTTGCTAGATATTCTTATAATAATTTATATTTAATATAATAGATTTTATAAAATAAACTCTATTATAACTAGAATGAATCTGTTATAATATAATAATTATAATAGAATTCATTAAATATAAATCAATTATAAATTAATTATAAACTAAAAAAATTAATAGATTACATTTTTTATAACTATCAAAAACTATTCTACTAAACTTACTTCATTCTTTTTTCCTCTCTCTCTCTTATCTAAATTCCAGTTTTAAAATATAAAGTAATATTAACTAATAATATAAAAAAAATTAAAAAAGTTCATATTTTATTAATAGCACTTTAAAAAAAGGAAATTTGTAAATGCTTGGCAAATAACAAGATATTAGAACAAAAAGATATTATTGCTAAGTATAAAATATCTAAACAATCCATTTCTAATATTATTAAGATAAAGAAATAATAATTATAAATTAATTCTGAAACTGTTTTAGCTAAATCTAAGCATATTTAAAAAGCATTCTTTGAAAATATTAATAAAATAATGAAAATTTGGATGAAAAATATACTATTATAAAGTAATTAGATCTTGAATAATAATATATTAATAGAAAAGACTTTGGTATTTGCTAAAGAGTTTGAAGTTTCTGATGACTTTTTAACTTCTATAGACTAGATTAAAAACTTCAAAAGAAGAATTAACTTGAAATATTACAAGAAATATGATGAATCTAGTAATATTAATATGAATAAAATTCTAAAGTTCTATAAGTAATTTTAGAATATAATTAAAGATTATAATCCTAAAGATATATTTAACTGTAATAAAATGATATTATATTGGATGCTTGAACCTAATTAAATTCTAGTATATAGTTTAGTTAAAGAAAAGAAAAATTTAAAGAATGAATATCATTATTAATAATAATAAATGTAACAAAAACTGAAAAATTTCCAATTTTATTTGTTTACAAGTATAAAATATCATATATTCTCAAGAAAATTAATAAGTCTACTCTTCTAGTATAATACTATTGAAATATAAAAGTATGAATGTAAAGATTTATTTTTAAATTTTATCTTAATTAGCTTAATTTCATGATGTATATTGCAAATCAGAAAATTCTTCTTTTAATAGATAATATAAAATAGCATGAAGCTGAGAATATTAGTGAATTATTTAATATTTAAGTTTATTTTCTACCTTCTAATACTACATCAATTATTCAACTTTTGAATTAAGAAATATTATATAATTTAAAAATTTGTAATTTTATTTATATATTTTATTATTATTTTATTATTAATATAATTTTATAATCAAAATACAATATAAAAAAGTTTTATGTTTGAAAAAAATAGCCACTTATGAAAAATTAGTTAATCAAGATAGTAAACTTTCAAAGATTTTTATTTATGATGCTATTTTATACATCAGTCATGCATAAAATAATATCTGAAGAAATAATCAAACATAGTTAAACATGATCTGGTATTCTTTCAACTTTCTTTTCATCCAAATTATTACATGATTTATCAACTTTTGATGAAGAAGTCAATACTATTGATCTGAGAGAATCTGAATCTCAATAATTAGAACATGAATTAGATCAATTGATTCAACAGCTGCCAATTATCAAATCACTTTCAGTATATGAATTTATATGCATTGAAAATAATATTGAACCTGAAGAAATTAGCCTAACAGAAATTGTGGATGTAGTGTTTGAAAGAGGATTGGAGGATGAAGCTGATAGCAAAAATGAAAGTGAGAAAATAATTTCTATCAGCAAGGTTTTAGAGTACTAATGTTCTTATTAGATATTGATATTATAATTTAGTTAAGTTGCAAAAAGAATTTATTACTCAAAGTATAGCTCAAAAAAAAACAAACTAGTATTGATCAATTTTTTGTTTCAAATGAGTAGTTTTAATTTCTTTTTTTTGTTTTATTCGCTCCTAATCTTATAATAAATACATATAATTTGTAATTAATATAACGGACTTTTTTAAAATAAAATAGTAAGTCCGTTATAACGAAAAAAATTCGATTAACCGGACTCGTCAATATAACGGACTAGATAGTAGGAACCGAGTGGTCCGTTATATCGACTTTGACTGTGTAATTGTTGAAGTTTGTGTATTTTTTTTCCGATTTTAAAGTGGTCAGATACTTTTGACCGAATCAAGAACATTTGCCGAAAGTACGTGATAAGGTCGCTCCATATCAACGATTCTGAGTAGCTAGTTATATAGCGATTGATGACAGTTATCAATCTTTGTTGTTAAAATTTTCCAACATATACTGCTATGAATTTATTTACACCAGTATCTGGTTTCAAAATTCCTGTAATAAAAATCTCCTCATCCCAAGTCCAGTACCACGCAATGATTTACAATTGATGGTGCTGGTTTTCTCAATGTCTGAATGATCAGAGATAAGAGTGAGCGTTTCTTCTTGATTTAAACTTTCTTTTAAGAACCATTTCAAGTGCTCGCGTTTCGTCAAGGATGATGGGAAAGACATTAGTTTTTTTAACTTGGAGGATATTGTGCCATGGCATTGATAGAGATGCAAATGGAACAATTGCCCGGCAAAATCTCAACGATGTCCATGAATTGAATCGTTTGATCAAAAACTTAACAAACCAAAAAACAAAGCAAATTCAAATTAGAAACATTAGAAACAAGTAAAGACGCAACCGGCATCCAAATAAGATTGAAAGTGCCGAATCTAAAAATGAAGACACGGGTCGAGAGCTTATTTTCCGCTACTTTGTTTTGGTGAAGCTGTATTTAATTGATACAAGGAGTTGAAACTTCTATCCCTGTCATTTCTCTTAAATCTAACTCAAAATGATAAATCCCTACTATAACACGAACAAATTTACCAAATGTTTACGGATTTCGCAGACAAATTTATTTATTTCTGTAATGATTTTGACATTATGTTTTTTAACTTAGGAATCTCACCTTTAGCGTACTATAATCATTCTAATTAATTAGTTTTATACTTTCAATTCATAAGTTAACTTATGAGGTATAAAACATATAAAAATATTCGTGTTCTTTATTTTCTGATGTATGAGAAATTTGATTTTCTACATCTATTTAATTAATTATATTGGAATCTAAAAGTTCTGAACTTTATAAATTTCAATTTCCATTCCACTGTAATAACCATGTTTAATTGCATATTTGGTCTTCTCTTATTCAAATCTGTGCGATAATCTCTTTTTTCTTTTTCCCACTTGGTAATGACTCATTTTCTACAGCAAGATACTTTGCATTCAATAAGAATACACGACTGAACATTAACAAAAAATCGGATATTTCTGGATCTTCATTTAGGTGTAATGAAATCCAGTAATGTAGTGCATAACGCATTTGACTTTTGGATGTGTCTACGCATTGTCTATTGTGAAAATATATTACCAGGATGAGTGAGTGGTAAAATGAAAATGCAAATTAGAATAAAATAATTCACTCACATCCCACGTTCTTGACTCGCTTTTGAGAGTTCATCAATTGTTAATTTAGCTACGCCTTCTTTTTGTAACATCTATAGAGAAAAATCAATAATATAATTATGCGAATTTAATTAATAAAATTCTTTTAATAGATTATTAATTAATTACCAAATCATCTTCAAATATGTAATCTAAATGTTTTTCCAATCTTTTTTGTAACATTTTTCTGGTGCCCAATGTGCTCAGGTCCATGAATCTGTTATAAATCAAGAAATGAATAAACGGTAATCATCATTTAGATTTGAGAAAGAAAAAAGTTCGGTTCAACCTTGAAATGACCATTTTTACTTACTTACAAAAATGTTTCAACAAGCGTGAATTAAAATTCTTCAAAGAAATTTTATGACCTTCAATAGTCTTCTGAAGTTGAATCATCCGTTGTAAATTTTGAAAATCATCTTTTGCTAACTAATAATGATAATCATAACCGAAAGAAATTAAATATCAAATATTGCAAACAAATCGATTGTGCTACTTCTTCACATATAGATACGTTGACGACATTCGACTCCTTCAGTAACTCATTACGAATTGCTTGTTGTTTTTCGTATAATTTGCGTCGTGTTTTCTCCTTCATGGATAAATGAGAAAAGGATAATCAGAATATATGGAGAAGTAGATTAGAAATAAAAATGCATACGAGTACCAATTGTTCAGGAGTCACGCATGTGCTGGGTACTAAAAAAGGTGCCATAATAACCAAAAGCGGCAACAATTCAGCAACCGTGATTAGAGTCAGTGCAAATGGAATCAACTTCGATCGATCCAGTTCAGCGGTTCTAATCTATAAGCTTGATAAGTAATATATAAATATATATAGTATATTTATTTATTTATTTTTAACACATGCCAATTGTAATTCACGTCGAGTCAACGAGCTTGGGTCTTCATCTCTTTTCGCTCTCAATTGTCGTGCGATTTTCTGATTTTCCCATAATTGCTTTATACCATTTTTATAAAATGTTATAAGTTCTCGGGCTTTTGCAAAATAGCCTTGGGATTTTTCGGAACTAATTTTTTGAGGAGAAGTGGCAAACGAGCGTTCTATGACACGTAAATTTGTCGCGTCATTTAAATTTTGTCGTGAAAACGCGCAAAAAAAGGAATTTTCGCTGATATATGTATATTAAAAATAAAAAACAAAAAAAAATAATTAATCGGATAAATTTAAAGTATATAATAATTCTATGTATGTTCTCTTATTATGCACCTCTTAGCTTTGGTATCTTTATGCTTAGATTTGGAAGTGAAAGAAATACGACGAAAACAAGCGCCATTAGAGTATGACCTTAATAATAATATAGTGTTTCTTGAAGAAAACCTGTTACCTAAACAATAATTTTGATCCGAATGATTTAATATAAATTTGATAATGCTTTCATTTTGCAAACTTACATTGGGCAAAAGGGACTGGAAGACAGATTTCGTAAAGCCAACATTTTTTTCGATATTATCTGTACCTTGCCAGTGATTATCAAAAAGGAAAAAATCAAAGATTATATTGACCAATTATATTAACTTGAATAAAAAAAATAATTGTTCAAACGCTAATCGATCGGTCAATCAATAATGTCGGTTGCAAATTCCGCCTTAATTGAAAGTAATTGTCCAGACTTAAAGTTGCTATCGCGTGGTAAAGTACGCGACTTGTATCTCATTGATGAAGAAACGTTGTTATTTGTCGCGACGGATAGGATAAGCGCGTTTGATGTTATCATGAAAAATGTGTGATAATTACGATAAATAAAAAAATCGAATTCTGTTGCCCATTAAAAATCTAAATCAAATTCTAATATCATTTTTTTTCATTGATGATCGATTATAATTAAACAAATCAAATATCGCTAACAAGGGAATTCCAGGTAAA